ATTAAATTAGGAGAGCATAGAAAATTTTGTGATAAAAACCAACCAACAAACAAAAAAGGATAGATGCTTGGTTACCACATAATATACAAAAAGAAAGAGAATATTGATATGAGAGAGAGAGAGAAGGGGGGGGGGGACGGGAGGGATTTATTTACAAGCACTTTGATGGGAAAATTGAAATTTACTTCAAAGTTCCCCCTGTGGGAAACCTTATTTTAGTCCCACATCTGTATTTGAAGAGTAAAAAGGAGGGGGTGGGGATATAAAAATGGCTAAAAGCGTGGGGGTGTGGCATGTGGCTGCTCATCAACTGTGGTTGACCTCCATAACAAATAAGAGGCTTGCCCTTATGTAAAAGGGTGGGCAACACCTTTTGATTAATTTTTTTTTTTCAAATGTAAATTTATATAAATAAAAAAGAAATATAAAAAATGGGGGAACTATCCGGTTCCACTGGTTTGAGCCGCTAGTTCCCTGACATAATAGGTTCATTTTGTCAAAAAACCGGCTGGTTTAGGAGGGAACTAGCCGAATCCCGATATTTGGCGGTATCGGGATCGGTCAGGCAATTTGGATTTGGTTGGTTCTGATCCGGATCACCAATTTTTAAAACCTTGGTATGGATGGTGATTCCAATTATAGGAATCATCTGGCACATGAATTCTGTCATTATGATTCTTGAAATGATTGAAAATTACATGCATATCTAACAACTATACCCTTTAATGCTTTGGGAGGTTGTAAAGTGTAAAATTATAAATAAATCAGCTTGATACGCTTCTGGAGATTGCAAAGTGTGAAACTGTAAATAAATATGATTTTACTAAGAAAAAGTAGCTCCTTAATATTGTTGTTAGTTATCCCGATGTGCCTCATCAGTCATCATAATATTCTTTTATTCTATTTTATGGGATTATTGTTACATAAATTGTACATCAAAGGATTATAACATATTATTTATTAAGGGATTGTCTGCAAAAAGACTATGTATCTTTTGTATGAGGAGGTCACAATCAATCGTGTCCTTTAAATTTTAAAATGGGTGGTTGTAAGATTGTCATTGAATAGACACAAAGTTCCACAAAAAAATTCTTGGACTTCATAACTCACCCCAAACTATCCAATGTGCTATCTAATGAGTGGGAATAGTTGTAAATCCTTGTACAAAAGATAAATGGTATCTTTGTAGACAATCCCATTTATTAATTACATAAAAGTCAATAAATAATTATTTTTTATTGCCCGTTTTTTGTGCCCATTTTTAATTGTATTGTGTTGGATTATTGGACTTTCGAAAAAGGTAATATAAATTTTTAAAACTTTATGTATTAATTAAATAATTGTATGGAATGCGCTCCTGATCTAAGGTGCTTCTAGTATGTGACTATCCCTCGCTGCTGCTTCCACAGTGGCTCTCGCTTTCAACAACTATGGAACATGAGTTCGAGCACACCCATAAACATCTATATGTTGTGCTATTTAGGTGCACATATTACATATGCATGTATCATAGTTCAATTTAAAGAATGCAATATAGTTTTGTTAATTTTTCTTAATTTTTGATTTTCCATGTTTTCTTAATTTTCATTTTATGATTTAGTTCTTTTAATGTTTGGAGGAATTTTTGGTGCGTTTTTATTCTTTTTAGTATTTTCTTACCCTTTTGTAATATATGTGTGGGTGTGTGAACAACAACTAAATGATATTTTCTTCCATAGAAAACCTTTGGAGCAAAAGATGTTATCATTTTATGCTAAGCAAATGATGACCACCGTTTGCTCATTGTCTTTTTGAGTCCTTAATGGAATATTTGGAACTGACATTTTCATTTTCTCTGTGCTATCATCAGTGAACAAAAAGTCGGTTGCCTAGCCTAGCTGCCTAGGCGGCCCAGTAACCGAATAGGTAGGCAGGGTCTCGTTAGAGTTGGTACACGAGCTCTTGCTTAGGCCACCTTGGCTGCCAGATGAAACACCCTTGGCTAAGGGTGAAAAAAGGCACTAGACTTAGGGCAGCAAGTTTGATATTTTCCTCGAAAAAGGGGGGAGAAGGTTTGTGTTGAGGCTATAAGGCCATTTAAAGGCCTTATGAGAGCATATAAAACTATAACTTTAGTGATGTAATAACTTTAGTGGGGGTAGGGTCCGGTGGGACCAAAGGATTACGGTTTGGAGGCAGCAAAAGAGGCATTTTTGATGCCGTGACTCACCTAAGGTGCTGTCTAGAACCCTTAGCCATGGGCATATGGCACAATCGATAAGGGATTGCAGGGTCATACTTGAAACCATGGACTAGGATCATGTTCTCTTCATTTGTTGGTTGACTTTGATGGACCAATCATGAACCCCTACGATGTGATGGGCTGTGGGTCATGGTTTCTGTTGGGTCAGTTTGAGGAGATGATAGTAATCCATAGTTTCTAGTATAAATAGAGTTCCTCAATATATTTGTATAGTTCTCGACTCAATGGATCGAATTCCCATCAAATTGTATTTATATATATGTTATTTGAATTATGGAACATTAGAGTGAAATTGAGGGAAAGTGGTTCTAGTACCTTTTCTTTAATCATGATGGTTGATCTAGGGAATGGTTGATTAAAATGGTTGATTAAGAAAAAGAAAAAAGTTATCATCTTCAAGGGCCAAGAGGCCCCCCCCCTGTTTTAACAGGCCACCCAAGTATCTTGGTGTCCAACTAGACGGCCGCCTAGGTGGCCAAATCTGCCATCTTGAATATCGGCTATCATCATATGGCTATCATTAACTTGTCGGTTTTCTTTGTGGATGCTTATGTTCAATTGAAATTGTGGTTTTAGATTAATTGAAAGCATTAGCTGTGAAGTGTTTTTGCTTGATCAAATGCTCGATAATACCAGATGTGCAAGGTTTTGTATTAACTTATTAAATAATTTATGTTTATGCCAGCATTTTGCTGGCTGCACTGGCTATGGTCATGATGAAGCTGGGGGTCGGGAAGCATTGGACAAAGTTTTTGCAGAGATTGTAGGAGCAGAATCAGCTATAGTTCGTTCACAGGTCGTTGACTAACATCATTTTCGGTTTTTGGTGGTTTGAATGCTTGTGTTGAGAAGTTTCCTATTTTATTCCAACAGTTCTTCTCTGGTACACATGCTATAACTTGTGCTCTGTTTGCATCTCTCAGACCTGGGGATGAAGTAAGTCTCAAGTTATTTTGTTGGGTTTTAGTTTGTGTCTGAATTTCTTTTGTAGCTACTATTTAGGGTTGGATTTCCTTCAATTATTACAATAAAAATTTATTTTTTAAAAAAGGTTTGCTTTTAGATTTAATATGATTATCAGCTTTTAGCTGTTGCTGGTGCTCCTTATGATACCTTAGAGGAAGTGATTGGAAAAAGAGACTCTCACGGGCTTGGTTCTCTTGATGAGTTTGGAGTGACCTACCGAGAAATCCCAGTAAGTGACTCATGCCCATAATTTTTGAAGTTTAATTGTTTCGGTGCAATGTTCTCATTCGTTGGGTGGTTCAGCTAGCAGATGATGGAGGTCTCAATTGGGATGCACTTGCTGTCGCACTTAAGCCGAAGACGAAATGTGCGTTAATACAAAGATCGTGTGGCTACTCATGGCGTCAGAGTTTGAGTGTACAAGAAATCCAGAGAGCAATTCAGTTGATCAAGGCAAAACCCCAAACATAAATTCCAGAAGGATAAGGTTTATTTGTGATGGCACATTATAGGCACAAACACATACAGTTTCTACTTTCTTTTTATCCAAAAAATGCACATGTTTATCAAAAAACATTTTCACTCCTACAAGCTTCATGCTTTTACATCAACAAAGTTTGTCACATTTTATCTTTTGAACCCAATAAACTCATTTTTTTGATCCCTCAAAGTTTTTAACCCTCTCTTATTTCCTTCTTTTTTTTTGAGTGTTTGTTTTGGGTTTGGCACATTAGTTATGAATTTTATTTAGCAGAGTTTAGATATCAGAAACATTTACTGATTATTGATTATATGCCTTGAGTTTTTCCCAGCTTTTCTTTCCAATTGTTTTGTTTTCCCCCTTTTTTTGAAAAGAATTAGTCATTCCTCTGTATGCATCTTCTGCAAATACCATTGGGTATGAAATTTAGTTCGTATTCCTTCAACCTTCTTCTCTTTTGATTTTATGCTTTTTCTTTCTCCTACCTTCCTCTTTGTTTGTCTTTTCTTATTTTCTTATTTTTGTTTTCCTTTTGTTGCTCTTCTTTCTCATGAATTGTTTCTTATTTGTTTTCATTGGTTTTTGCGGTTCTTGTGGGGCTTTGTTTTATTTGTATGCCATGTTCTTCATTAATTTAATTTTATTTTTTATATGGTTTCCTCTATTGTAGTTTTGCTGTCTTTATTTATGGGAAAAAGTTTATATAAGGTTGCAACATTAAAATGTAGAATTAAAGATGCACCTCAAAAATCCATCATGAAAGGTTGTTTGGATGTTGGAAAACCCTCTAATTGATCTTCTTGATATCGAGATGTATGAATTTGAAAAGAAAAAAAGATTTCGAGTGCGCGAAATAGTGTCTTGCAACACATTATCTTGACCGTCCGTTTTCAAGATTTTCATGTGTTTATAGATCTACTTGATTTGTTCCACTTTTAGAGTTTCAAATTTTATAATTAGAGATGAAAATAGTTTCTGAAGTCATCCTTAGAATTTTTGATATCAAAATTACATTTATGATAAAATTTAGAGGTGCATCTTAATTGGATTGTTTAAGGTTGCACCCTTATGCAAACCACACCCTTATTTATTATTAATTTATTATTATTTTTTGTTTTATTAAAGTTGACTTATTATGCGCTCATTTTTTTCATTTTCTTCTTTAATTGGGTTTCATAGTCCATGCAATTTTCATGCATCAAACGCTTTAGCATCTCAGAAGTATGTCTGTGATTGTGTGGGTATGGCCTGTATCTACCTCTCTCAATATTTACTTGAAAATAGATTCAACAACCTTCTTACTACTCTTAATTGTTATTTCTAAACAGAGCCAAAATTCGGAATGCATGGTCATGGTGGATAATTGCTATGGTGAATTTGTGGAAACTACGGAGCCACCTGAAGTGGTAGGTGCTTATCTACTTGATTAACATGCACATGCCTGCGTGCTTCTCTGTACACAGTGAGACCTGAATACATTCCTATTTGATAGGGTGCAGATTTAATCGCAGGGAGCTTGATAAAAAATCCTGGGGGCACAATATCACCATCTGGGGGGTACGTTGCAGGAAAAAAGAGGTGGGTTAAAGCTGCAGCTGCTCGCCTTTCTGCACCTGGCCTAGGTTTAGAATGTGGATCAACCCCTGGTGATGTGATGAGAGCACTTTTCCATGGGCTTTATCTTTCACCTCAAATGGTGGGAGAAGCCATAAAGGTAATATTTTCAAGGACAATTTATCAAATTAACCATAAGAGATGAACAATTTAACCTTTACCCAAATCTTTTAATTTAATTTCAAACTACCCATGAAAAAGCACATGGTCTTGAGTTGGCATAGTTGCTAATGGACAGAATGTTGAATACTTAATCTACTATGGGTATTTTGATAAATTTCCCTATTTTCAATTTTCATGGTACAATTTTATTGTTTCACCTCTATTGCAAGTTTCCGCATTGAGATAATCACCAAGTTTATCTTTCTTTAATAGGGAAGTCTTCTCATTGCAGAAGTAATGGCATCCAGGGGATATAAAGTGCAACCGCTTCCTCGAGCTCCTCGCTTTGATACTGTACAGGTCCTTTCTGACTTCAATTGGCATCTATTGTGAGCTGAGATGGTTTTTTGATATGTGCTTGGATTGCTTCATTTTGTTTGCTGAGTTGGACATGCCTTGTTTGCCTTAGCCATCATCTTAATATTATTGCTCACTAAGATAATATTTTGTTTTTGTAATTTTGAAAGTGTATTACTGAATACATGAAAAAAACCCACTAGTTCATTATCTTGTGGATTTCTGATAATTCAATCTGGTGGATGCATGGGCAATCTAGAAATTCAAAATTAGAAATCCAAAATCTTGAATTCATGGAGCTAAAATTTTGGAAATTAACAAACGAAAGCAGCAATGCGCATGTGCTAAAGTTTGTGAAAGCAGCTACTTACCTCAGAATATGTAATTATATGCAATGAAGCACAAATCTCAAAATAAATTAGCAACAAGTTAATAGATGTACAATACTGACCTGTAAAATACCTAGGCTTACTGCAGCTCCTGTTGTGTAATAAATTATTCAAAACCACTGCAAATTGATTACATGAATAGATGCATAATTTTAGGTAAATATACAAATACATTAATAGTCTCAATAGACTTGGGACTGCAAGCTATGTACAACAATGGCTCAAGAATCCCCAAGAGAACCTCAATACCTGAATACACAGAAGCATTATCAACCCTTGCACTCCCAATCCCAAATTCTCGATTCATCTCCTGGCCCTTAAAAATTTGAAATAGAGGTGATGGTACAAGCTCTTCATGGTTTCCCCAAAAGGAATCTGAGTTCCTAGAGAAGTGAGGTGACTCTAGAGAAAACTAAAACTAATGTAAGTAATTAGGAAAATAAGGCCGTAAATAGATGTCAATACTCTGCTCATTTGATTTCTTTCCTACTTCAAACTTGTCACAACTTGTTACCCAGGTTTATTTTGGTATTTTCTTAGAAATGATGAATTTTTGGCTGTGGGTTTACTTTGGATTCTTTACAGAAAGAAAGAATGTAAATACTTACTACGTTTTTGACTAGGGAATGGTGAGGAAAATGCCATAAGAACATCCACACATCAGTAAGGATTGTGGCTTGAACAAATCTTGGCACACTATGCACGACCAACTTATTGGGTTGGAATACGTATGCGAAGTGTACCGATCCGGTATTCTCCCCCCTTATAATAAAGCATAAACAAATGATATGTGCCCACAAATCATGGAAAATTGCTATATATTGTGATCCGGTATTCTCCCCCCTTATAATAAAGCATAAACAAATGATATGTGCCCACAAATCATGGAAAATTGCTATATATTGTGAGGTGCATATGAAAGGTGTGTCTGTGTAGAATTTCATAGTATAAATTAAAAATTTTCTTTGTTTTCTTTATGAAGAGTTGGAATTTCTACTTATAGTTGACATAATACAATACAGAAATAAACGTACTACAGTCAAGGTTCTTTAAATCTTACTGCCAAATACAAAAATACTTCATTTAAAAAGGAACTTACAACTTAGGAAACATTTAGTAATCGGGAATAACAAAAATATATAAAACTGGAAAGGCTTACTGAAATATTGCTTAGGGTTACACCCTTAGGACTTGGCATACCCCTATCGCCCAAGAGATGGCGCACTTGATCCCTAGATCCTGTTGAATCCACCAATTTGAATTGGGAAACACCTTGGGAATATCCTTATTTGAAATCCATGGGGTTGGGAGCATGGGTCAGAATTAGGATTTCTTAGACCCTTTTCAATCCCTGGGGCATGCCACTGAGTGGCACCCCTAGCCTAGTCTAGGTCTAGGCTTGCTCCCTTCTCTCTCCGTTTCTTTAAGTGGTGCGTGCCACCCCAATGTCCTCATAGGGTTAGTGTGCCAGCGAGAGAGAGAGAGAGAGAGAGAGAGAGAGAGAGAGAGAGATGAAGTGTCTA